CTTTCACTGTCCACGATCAACTTCAGCCTGTTCCTGTAATAGTCGACCAGGATGTGCACCTTATGGCCCTGATAGAGGATCGTCACTTTGCCAACGCACATTTTCTCCGGCTTGTTCTTGCACGGATGGTTTGTGATTAACACCTGCCGACAATGGGATGTTCTCCAAAAAACTGGTTTCACATTAATCACAATTCCTGCATACCTGCCACTTGTGCGTATCTTGGCCCTGTTCAAGTGCATCCCTCGACATCACATAGACGCAGTTTCCATTCACCTTAAAATTGTTCTCGTCGTAAGTCACATATTGAAGATGGGGCAGTACGTTGCATTCACAGTCTCTGCAACTGGATGGTTGGATGCAGCTGTCGTCCTTTCTTACGTGTCCTGAAATGGTTCGAAGCAAAGAAAGTGGTGGAGTTTTTCCAGGAAATGTTGAAGTCTTACCGGCAGGGCAGTAGCAGCCAGGGAAGCACATTTTGGGAATTTTGGGACACACAAAAGGATCGCTAATTGACTCGCATGTGGGCTCGCATTTGCGCTGGTAACAGTCGTGGAAAACGAGCGGAGCTTCACACTCAGCAGCTGAAATCGTCGGTATTCGGTAATAAGAATATCATCGCGTTTAAGACTTCATAGTTTAAAATAGGCCTGGGCAACACTGTGTTGAGTTGCGCTATTGAGTTGCTCTCTGAGTTAACGAGTTATGACTCATTAGTTAATGAGTTATAAGTCATTTCTCAAAGCTTTACCAGACCTGAGCCTGGAATTTTCACATCTAAAAAAATCACCAACAATTTTTCTGAGTAACGTTTTACTCAAACAACTAAAAAAGTCATCTAGATTTTCCCAGCAACAGAAGCCAAGTCCACAGAAAACCGACGAGTTTTCATGTAAAATCGATCTCACTTGCAAGTTTGCAAGTATTTTACAGTAAAACTTTAGGAAAAACGTGGTTTTTCGTTTAGAGACAGTGTTGTTTAGGAATATTGAGCTTAAAGTGAAGAAACCCCAGTTTCTAAGAGTTTTCCAAATAAATGACTATAAACTTTCGCTTTTTCTGTTGGGGAAAATGTTTTTGAAAAAAGACCCAGAATTAATTATTAGGGTTTTGCCCATAATTCGAAGAAATTTTTGCAAAGCGGTTAAGGAGGCGAGTGTTCCAGTAAAATTAATCTTTCAATTTTTCACAGAAAATACCTGAAGATTGTCAGTATTTTAAGAAGAACTAAAAAATAATTCGATTTTTGCGTAGAAAGAATTGCTTAAAATAAACTTAACTAACTAGGCTAAAACTGGGAAGAAAATTACCTGAAAATTTAAAGCAAATTTACAAATATTCAGAGCGATGAGGGCGGCGAATTTTCCAAATAATTTTTTCAATTATTTTCGGTAAAAAACTGAATTAAATTATTTGGTTTCAGTGCCAAATTCGAAGCTGCAAAGTGTTTTCTAAAGTCCTCTGCAAACGGATCCATGAGGCAAATTTCCGAGCAATATTAATTTTGTCATAATGGTTTTTAGTGTTTTCAATTAAAAACTTTTAGTTTTGTGATCGGTTTTGGAGAAAACCTTAATGGCTTTCGGGGAAAAGCGGGAGAAATTTAGTTTCGTTTTTGTCTGGAATTCGACGCTGAAATAAGTTTTTGTAAAATTTTTACAAAGCTATAAATTTATCTTGTTATTTTTCGCGTAAAAGAATTCCGATTGTCAGTATTTTTAAGTGAAACTCTACAGAATAGAGCGTTTTTGAGCAGAAAGTAAAACAAAAAAATCTGTAAAAACTGAAAAACCACATTTTTTTTACAATCTATACAGGCTTCAGAGGAATGGAGGTGACGAGATTTCCAAATAATCTGGTATAAACATTCGCTTATTCTGTTAGTTTTCTGATAGAAAATTGTGTGATTTTCCTCCAAATTCAACGCTGGAAAAGGA